TACATTACATGTAAAAGTATTGTGAAGAGGACATATCTAATCTACGAAAAATGGTCGGATATAATAAACGCGTTGCATTAGATATGTTATTTCGTCAATACAATTATAAAGTATGGGGACAAATGTCGCACAAAGATGCACGGGTTATAATAGTAAAGTTTAAATAAATGATGGGTATAATAATGGTGAAAACTTGATACTTTCTGATTATTAATTTTTAAGAAACAACTAACTGTTGATAATTATTTGTTTCAACAGTTAATGTTGAAAAATTCCCTAAAAAATGTTAATAATGAAAAATGTTACTTTCTGAAAATTTCGCACAAAAGCGCACGCGTTGCACATCGGGGTTTTTTTTTTTTAATTATTTAATGTCTTAATGTTAATAATGAATCATCAAATTCCCTAAAAATAGTCAGAAATCTTGTAATGCAAGAATCTACTATATTTTCAATTAAATGGTTATTCGTCACAAATTGATTGGTCATCACTTTTAAATATGTCATTCACTTTTCTATAATCTTTTAAAGATTCAGTAGGATATTCATTTAGTGAATGTTCACTATTTTTTCTAAATAAATCCTTGTTGATGTATAATCATTATTTTGTACCATTGTGGTGGATAACTAATAATTCAAGTTAGATGCGTGCTTGTAAAGTTATTTATTATAATTGACTAACCAAAATGGAAACCCTTTACATGTTCTCAAACTCAAAGCATCGCAAACAACTTAGAGCCCATACTAGTAGGCCCATGTATTGGGCCCATACAAACTATAATTTTCTCTACTTCTTCTTTTCAATTAAAATTATTAAAACTAAATGTAAATTGATTTTGTACTGGGCATCAGTATTGTTTGTTTACCAAGATTATTTTATATTTGCCTTTCTAATATCTATATATATATATATAATTGCTGACAAATTTAAATAAATTTTATTCAGCCAATAATTAATAATAATATGAGTTCATTTAATAAAAATAGGTGTTCATTTGATAAAAATATGTTCACCATTTAATAATAATATGTAACTTTCAGTTACACAATTTATTTTGACATGTCCCATTTTGGATGGTGTCCATTTTTGTAAAGTCTTTTATGTCTTAAAATACAAAATATTTTTGTTTTTATTTTGATACTATATATTTTTTGGTATTATATAAATACATATTTCACAACTAATTAAAAATGACTACAAATATCTCCATTTTCTATTGCAGTCATACAATAATAAAAAATATTTTTTTGCATATTACAAAGATACATCAAATATTTTTTTAAAAAAAATCCCAGAGTAGTCGAAGAGATTTATCGATAATGATTTGTTGTGATTGGTAATTCTGACGATAGGTAAATCACAAATGTTGTGTATAAAGAAGTATTTAATAATATTTAGATTCACTTTTTTTAAATTATTTTTTTCTCATTTATTAAGTTATAGTTTTTATTTTATTTTATATTTTTAATTATTTTCCTATTATATCGCTTTTCGTACAAAGGGTAAAACTAGTTTTATTGTAAAAAGAAACGTTTTAGAATTAACTAATGCAATTCATGGCCTCAGTAATATTGGCGTACAGCAGGACAAAATACTACTTCTACGCTTACTATGCTCTCAAAACTCTGATTTCCATGGCAACTGAAGGAAGTGTTCAGTTTCTTGCTCTTGCATACGTGGTAACTTAAATGTTTTCCTTTTCACCTTTTATATAATAGGCATGTTAATTGTTACAACTTTTACTTAGAAAAATTCATCACCATAGTATATTTTTACCTACAAAATGTCTTAGCTAAATGAATCACTCACTCATTCACTATGAACACTAGTTTTTCTCGTTTTTGTCTAGCACTTTTTTTTTTAAAAAAAAAAAAATTAATAATAATTTGCAGGCAGATAATGTTCCAGAGGGCAAAAGGGCTTCTGTTTTCGGGATCATGTCCGGATTTGCATCTTCTTCTTTCGTATTCGGGAACTTCTCGACTCGTTTTCTATCGACTTCAGCCACATTTAAAGTAAGTTTTTCCCAAGTTCCCATCAAAATAATATATTTTGCCTGTATTTAGTGAACAAGAAAATTGTTTAAAAGTAATTTAGTAAGAATGTAATTTTCTTTAATTTATGTATAGGTAGCTGCAGCAATGTCGATTATTTCATTGCTCTATATGAGAGTGTTTCTTCCAGAGTCGAACAACAGCATTTGTTCAAAGGCCACAGAAAATGATTGTCTTCTCGAGAAAAATCCCATGAAAAAATCAAGTCTTTTCAGGACTCTGCCTTCTATGGACGATGCCATTTGCTTGTTGCGGATTAGGTAAAAACATCATAATTTTTCAATTCATTATGTTTTCTGCTCATTCTTTAAGCTAAAGCTCGACTTCTTCTTNTAATGTGTTTTTAAAATTTTGTCGATAAACATCGTGCAGTATTACTTGAAGGCTCAATTTCACTTTAACAAAGACGAATTCGCGGACCTGATGATAATTGTTGGGATTGGTGGATCTATATCACAGGTAGTAATTTTTATTCTATACATTAATATGATTAATTGGCTCAAATATTAATTAACTCGAAAATTAGTGTGGTTGACTCTGTTTTGCATTGTCTTTCAGCTCATTGTCATGCCTTTATTAACTCCGCTCATGGGAGAAGAGAAGATGCTTTCCGTGGGCCTCTTTTTCGGCTGTGCTCATGTAAAAATGAACTCTGCATATATATATTTTTCTTGTTTTCATTCTTGAAAGAAAAATTCTCAAGTACAACTAACATTTCACTACATTTTCTTTCATGCAGATGGTACTTTACAGCATTGCTTGGGCTCCCTGGGTAATTTTTTCTTTTTGACATAACGACATTTTTAAATCGAAACTTATTTCGTATTTGGAAATAAAATCATAAAGAGTGGAACTTTGTGCATAGAAATTAAGAACTTACCCCCCACAATAATTCTATAGGTTCCTTATATAGCAGCAATGATCACCGTTGTAGCTACTTTTGCTCTGCCATGTGTAAGTAATT